TCCAGTACTGTGGAGAATAGGATTCAAGAAAAAGTGTCTGTAAAGACGGTGAGAGTTGGAGGGTTTTTGGCAACTTAAATATAAACATTGTTATCCTCATTTTTGTCAGCTTGAATGGGTGCTGTTACAATTTAATATAGTAAATATTTACTTTCTCAAAAACAGCTGGGTAGTAGACATTGATGGTCAGAATGACTTCTCCTTCAGGGATCAGGTCAGCCACTACTTCTGGTTTCCTACCAACAGTTAAACGGTCCTGGAAATCACACAGATAACAAAGCCTTACATTAAGATAGATAGAAAACATAAGTTTATGATACAAATGCCTGGCACCTCCTCTGTTAAATTGAACCACGAGGCTGTTCCACTGCCCTAACACATAATCTTACTGACTGACACCATTTCAGTAATGCTCCAGTGGACTCACCAGTTCATCTGCGTAGAGGTCGTGTCTATTCTTAGTAATTTTCAGAGAAGCTTTATAATCTTGTCTCTTTCTCCTTTGTCTGTTAAAAGCAAATCACAAAGCAATGAATTTGAATTTGTGTACATGTCACCGGCTTATCCATAATACACAGCAAATCGCAACAACTGAGAAAAGTCCGTACACTAGTGTTTTTAGTGTCGCATCTTGAGGTACAACTTCTGTGTCAGGCTGCTGATCCTCAGGATGGCAACGGAGTGACTCCAGACTGGAAAAGATAAACAAAGTTATGTAGATATTTTGCAAATCATGGTAGGACTTGGAAAACAAAGCTCTGAAGAGACTGTATTAATAAAATTGTGTACACAATACAGCATGTGAAGGCTACATACAATCCTGCATTTGAATAAGAGTCATCAGGTAACTGAAGTTGTATAACGATCATATCTGGAGAAGCAGAACCTTTTGACACAGTTTCCACTGGCTTTCCGTTTTACAATTTTATCTACATGTTGCTGTTTGTTCAGTGGTTTAAAAATTGGTTTTACCCCTAACATTGATGGTGTTTTCCTTGTGTCGTCATCAGTTCGTCAAAGCTTACAAAGTCCACACACTTAGTGTACTTCTTTATTCCTGTTATGTTATAAGCAAAATCTGGAATATTTGCCTATTAAAGTTAATTATTACACAATTAACTGTTTTGTTGACTAGGTATAACTGAAATCTAGTCACAGTGATGTTTTAAATATAACCTAATACTGGAGATAAACAGTCCACAAGTCATTTTATTATCATTTTGCACCCCCGTGTCAAGCTGAAGTAAATAAAAATATTCATATGGGACACAAATAAACATTCACTGTTTACACTGTTTATCAAGCGTTATCTTGTGTAAACGTCGGGTTAACGTTAGCCTGGCTACCTGCAGACGGATTTCAGTTCAGTCATGATCTCCGGACCGACCCCCATCTCTTCAGCAAAGTTGGCCTCAAACGCGTCCTCGTCCTCCGCCTGGTAGGAGTAGTTACTCGGCTTCAGTCGGTTCAGCCATTCGTTTCTGAACGAGCCGATATGAAACGGTTTTGTGTTAACATCGGTATATTCATACTCTGGAATGTTTGTGTTTGTATCTGTCGAAAGCTTGGCCGCCGCCATGTTTTCCTAACAGACGTAATGCGCGGAGGATCATGGGTAATATGTTTTTCCTTCTCAGGCCAAAAATGATTCACTGAATTTTTTCACCATCCGTATTGCGAATGTTTAATATGTGTGTTGTGTAAAAACACAAAATATTATAATGGTTTGTGTGTGATTAGCATAAGCACACCGTTTGTCTACTTGTGACAATTTGCTAATAGATAGATAGATAAATAGATAGATTACTTTATTAATCTCCACAGGGAAATTAAATTGTAACAGCACCCATTCAAGCTGACAAAAATGAGGATAACAATGTTTAAGCCTATGTTTACAAGGAAGTAGAAAATAGAAAAAAAAAAACAAAAAAAGTTAACAAAACAGAACAAGCGTTTTATTTACACATATAGGCATACTATATACTATAATACACAGTACATTAGTGCAGTTGAATGGATGGCTAATCGGGAGAAACTGTACATTAAGGTTCATTTTCCCATGGATGTTAATAAGTATTAATAATAACAAGAATCAATGAACACAGACTTATGTGGAGGAGAGCCCTCTCTCAACATAGAGGTCATTCATTGTACAGGGTGTTGGCTGTTGGCAGGAAAGACTGCCTGTAGTGGAAGTGAAGACGTTTCTGACTGCAAGTGCCATTTGAACAGTAGGTCTTGGAAGGGATGTGAGGTGTTCTCCATGATGTTGAACAGTTTGTGCAGCATCATTTTCTTCAAAGCCAACTCCACAGTCGAGGATAGAGTCAGCCTTCCTGATCACTTTGTTAAGTTTGGTGTCACCGGCTGTAAGTGCCATTGTTAAATTAGGGTTAAAAATAAAACTGCATTAAAAACATATGGGTCAAAATTATAAAAGGACTTATTTTACAACAGTAGACTAATGATAACTTTATTTTGTTGTTATTTTATATTTGAGTGTTCATTTTCCTTTTGCTTTTGCAGACTTTTTTTAGACTGCATTGCCTACTAAAATCCTTTTTATGATGGTGCGTTTAAAAAAAAAAAAAAAAAAAGGCAGAGGAGAAAACACAAACAGAAATAATGAATTATGCAGGGATGTCACATGCAAACAGAAAACCGAAAATCACAGTAAAACACCCCTTGTGCTGGTGACCTTACTGTAATTTGTGATGGCCTTTCTGTCCTCAGGACAGAAATACTTTTTCCATCCCTGGTCCACCAATTGTTCAGGTTACGCCCTTGTTCTGTTATAACAGTCTGGTGACATATATTTCTAACAACATTTTCTCATTTTTAAATTTTATTTAAATAATATTTAATCTGGGGAATCCCACCTCTTTTACCAGGATGCCCTTGCACCATATGTTCTCCTGCAACATGATGAGACCACATGTGGGCTGACCTTGCCAGTTGAGGCCACGCCCGGTGTCTTCCTAAACGGCTTCATTCTGGAGTGAAGAGGGTGGTGTCACACTGGTATAAATATCTGCCCGGTAAAGATATAGACCTGTTGCTTCACGACACGTATTATAACTTCTTATCGTTCAACTCAGTCAAATGGAGGCGAAAGGTACTTCACCACAACAGGTAGGCTATGGTTTACTGCCACTTCTGTGTTTAATGACAAAACTGAGGTTTTTAATTGAGCTATTTTTTTTTTAGTGATGGGGACAGGAAGCCGCGTTAACACAGCTTCAAGCATTTCATTTGTAAGGTATGGCAAAATGTACACATTTTACTTAATAGTAACCACACACATATGATTAAAAAGAGAGAATCCTGTGGAAGAATCTTCAGAAATGCCTAATCATAACATCTGCTCATTGTGATGCACTACACACACACTAGGGACCAGTAGAGATATCTTACTGATACCTTACTCCTCATTCTTTCCTCAAACCTTTCTATAGTTCACACACTAACATACTGTACATTTTACATCTCCAGCTTATGATGAATTATGCTAGATAGAATGTTTGATTTGATATCAGCTGCGAAAATAAAAAATGTACCCAGTTCAGTTTGGTTCAACCCAGTTATGCACATGTTTACATAAAAAAAAAATTTCAACGAAGCTTGAAGTTTTACAGTGATGTTTTTCTGGGCTTTGATATTTTTGATATTCCACCTAATGTCAGATTTACATACATGTGAGTCTGTTGAAGTGAAGAAGCCAAACATTAATCTGATAATCTTTCATTCAGTTCACCTAAAATGGACTTGGAGACAGCACTGAGGGATTGCTCCACTGCCCTTAATCTTTTTATGAACAACAGGTTCGCTGATGCTCTGGCTCTCTTAGCACCCTGGTAAGTACTGATGCCTTGCATGGCTATATGCAGCTGTTTCACCCTGCAGGTGGCACTTCTCATTGTTAGTCATAGGAATTTGGCAACATTTCAAATACATTTTTACTTTTCTGCTTTCAATATGCATTTTGCTTTTAAAAATGTATTGAAATTGCCTCTTCAGGAAAAGTGAGAGCATGTGCCATGCAATGGGCTACAGCAGCATCTTAGTGATGCAGGCAGCCATGACCTTTGAACCAAAGGACTTGGATGCTGCCATGACATCACTGAAAGAATCCCTGCAGACATGCCAGAGGTATGGTGAAGTAGTTGAGGCTCTATTATTATTTTTTGTTAGTTTTTCCACAAGTTTAGACTGGGGCAGCAAGGGACCCTCTCAAGTTAGAAAATGAGTAATATACATAATATGCATGAAAACACTGATCATTTGTCCTGATACTTCTGATTGTCACTAAGTGTCACCGCATACTGTGTGATCTGTAACTTAGATATCGGAAGAAAGCTGGACTAGTGGAGACTCTGACCAGCCTGTGGTATAGACAACCAACTGATAATCTGACAGAGGGTGAGTTAACATCTGTAACTCCTGACTGCATACCTCACACTTGATCATGGTATTGCCACACATGAAACTCAGAGAAACTAGAATGCCAAATTGGATATTGACATACCAGAAATCATCAGAAAGATCTAGATACAAAACATACTGTATCATGTATGAGTCACCAATTATGCTATAGTATAATGTTTGCAATTCTGAACTGACATTGATTCAGTCTCTTTGCTAATCATTTGCTGTAAATGTGTTCACTCACAATAGTACCTTTGCACATTTCTTTAGTTTTTTTTTTTCACCTAAAATGTGATTAACAGAAGAGATGCATGCAGAGCTGTGCTACGCTGAGGTTCTCCTGCAGAAAGCAGCTCTCACATTCCTGGATGAGAGTTTAATCAGCTTCATTAAAGGAGGAATGGGAATGCGAAAGAGTTATCTGATTTACAAGTAAGAAGCATAATGTTTAATAGACCATAAGAATTGAAATCCTTTGCCATATTCAAATGAATTCAAGTGCAATTTAAAATGGTGTCTTCATCCAGGTTTTGCCAAAGTATGGAAAATGTCACAAAAGACACTGGAACACAGAAGAGTACACACATTCATTTTAGGGGCGGTGTCAACATGGGCATTGGAACATTTAATCTGGTGAGAGCTATGGGAAGCATGCAAAATATTAAAACTATATGTCACATATCATTTTGGGAATAAATGCACACGTCTTCTAGCACTATTGATTTGCATTGTATTTAAAGACTTAAAAATGCTGTGGTTGTGTTTTGATTAGCTCAGGTATACAGTTTGTTTTTTGTGATCAGGTGCTGTCTCTGCTTCCACCCAGAGTCCTCAGACTGATGGAGTTTTTGGGCTTCTCAGGAGACAGGGTGAGTGACATCACATTATATGGTGGCAAATCCTTTGTCTTAAAAATGGTCAGATCTTCATCTAAGTTAAAATTCTGAACAAACAATTTATTTTAACTAATAACACATACATCATTGTTTTGTTCTTGTTCATTTTAAATACATAATTCAGACATTCATAGGGTAGATTGGAAAAGGCATGTGAGCTGAAGCAGTTCTCTAAGGAGGAATGTTGAAGAGAAAAACATTTGACCTAAGGTTCACTTACCACCAGCAATGTCAATTTAATGTGTGTTTAATAAAGACATGAAAGATTATAGCTGTTTGTTTGAAGATCAGATCATTTGTCATGACCAATAAATGCAGAAAACCAGGCAATTCCAACCGATTCACATGCTTTTCCTTGCTCCTCTGTGCAAAGACAGAGCCCATGTCTTGTCTATATGTTAACCTGCTTTTATATTCAAGGTGTTTATGTCAGAAGAACCATTTGTTAATTATCTCACAGGAGATGGGTTTGTCTCAGTTGAGAGAGGGAGCAGCAAGCAACAGTTTGCGTTCTATCCTGAGCACCATAACTCTTCTGATGTTTCATCTCTACATCACAGTGATACTCGGTGAGTACAGTATGTGTAAATCCTATTTTCCTTAACTGATCATCCCTCGCTCCTCGACTGTCACTCGACATCTTGAAGATGTCCCAAAGCTCTTATTCCTGCTCTGAAGAGTGAGGATAAAGCAGTGAGGAGGCTGCCTGGAGGAGCCATGAGCAAAGATTTAGGAGACCATCCTTCATGAAAGTTTGTAATGGACCGACATGCCCCTTAATCAGAAATCAGTTGGTGACTGGATATATCAGAGGAAAGGACAGCTCCTGTTTCTAAAAACATGTTTCCTTGATTCCTCTTTCCTTGCATTTTTTGACGGGACTAGGATGCAAAGAAAAGGCACAAGTGAGGAAAATGTGGATGCAATTGAGGGAACTGGGATGTACCACATGGGTTAGGGCCACCGTTTCTTCCAGATTTCAATCCCTTGTTCATTTATTTGTGAATAAAAAAAAAAATTCAATGACTGTGGGGAGATTCATGTTCTGAGAATTGTTTCTCCACTCTCATTCTTCCCTAAGGCACCGGGCAAGGAAACCTAACTGAGGCTGAAGCCCTGCTGGCACCATACATTGAAAAGTTCCCTAATGTGAGCAGTGCATTAGTGATTCTGACAGGTGCCCCCTCTCAGTGGCATTCTGTTTTAATTAATTACATGTATTTTGTCTGCAGGGAGTCATCATTCTTTTCTACACTGCAAGAATTGCTTTGCTCAAAGGAAATATCACATTAGTGAGTACCGGTGATTTTTAAGTGAATATGTTTATGCCATCTCAGTGTTGTTTTTTTTAATGCAATATCAGTTCATACCCATGTGTCCGGGTTTCTCTGCAGGCTCGGGAAAAGTTCATGGCATGTATTGCAGCACAGGAAGAGTGGCATCAGATTCATCACGTGTGTTACTGGGAGCTGATGTGGACCCACTCCTTTGAACAAAATTGGATTGAGGCTTATCGATATGCAGATCTGCTCTCCAGGGAGAGCAAGTGGTCCAAGGTAATTGTTCTTCCTTTGTGATGTGGTCAATTTTCTGTGGTCATCTCTCTTCTGTTTCTCTGTTTTCCCTCTTATAAGAAGTTGATTGCTCCTTTCTTATAGGCCATCTATGTGTTCCACAAAGCCGCCATCTTGAGCATGCTCCCAGAGGAAGATGTGACTAAACTGGGAGAGAATGTGGTGGAATTATTCAGGTGCACTAACAATAAGTTAGCACTACATTTCTGTTGTCTTCGTATTAATACAGTAACTGTGAAGCATGGGGCAGTGGTGGAGGAAGTAACAAAAGTTTTCAAATAAATTTTGTGAAGTAAAAAAGTACAACATTTGTCAAAGTGTGAAGTAGCACAGAATAGAAATAGTAAGTAAAGTACAAATACCTCAGATGTACTTAAATAAAGGTACTCTGTTACTTTCCACCACTGTTTCTAGGCAGGTGGATGGTCTCAGATTGACAATTGCTGGGAAATCAATTCCAACTGAGAAGTTTGCAGCAAAGAAAGCCCAACGCTACTGTTCCTCTAACCCTGTGAAATTAGTCGTCCCTGCTTTGGTGAGGGCATGTGCACACTGCTGACGCTTTCAATGAAAACCCAGTGTGATCGAGCCAGTACTCAAATCTTCTTTTTGTCACAGGAACTGATGTATTTGTGGAATGGTTTCACAGTAGTAGGCAAACGACCTGAGTTGACTGAAAGTATCTTGAGCACCTTGGTGAAAGCAGAGGAGCAGCTCAGAGATGATCCAAGTGAGAGGCAGAGCAAAATTTTCATGAACTTTTTTTAGTTATCAATGTGAAACTAACAAGCATTTTGCTGAACATTTAGACCCATCAGAGTATCATCTGGATGACCAGTGTGTTGTCCAGTTGTTGAAGGGCTTGTGTCTAAAAGGCCTGGGCCGTCTAGTTCAGGCTGAGCTTTGCTTCACCCAGGTCATTTCAAGGTGAGGCCACACACACACACACACACACACACACAGCACGTTATAATTGTGTTTGTGTATTGATTACGCTTGCTGATAGCTCATTCAGCTACAACTATCAACTGAGCTTTTTTTGTCCTCTGAGGCTACATACATGAGAGGGTCAGAATATTAGGAACACCCCTGAATATAATGTAGTCCAGAACAACAACACCTTTAACTATGACCTCAATAATAAAGATATCATTGAATTTATACACTTATGACAAGTTCACTAAAAACTGAAACATTATGAGCTTAACACAGATGTTATAAAGCGGAAGTGTTGCACTGAATTGCATACACTTGTACAGGTGTACCTATTAAAGTGGCCAGTGAGTGTGCATGATGCATAGCATTCACAGTACCTCTGAGTGTGGTGTTGAGACTTAAGAGTTTAAATAAATTAGGTCTGGGTTTTATCAATGTTTATTAAACTACTAAATTGACCCACTGAATTGATTTTATTGTTTTTATTTTGCAGTGAATATGATATTAAGCATTACAACTATTTGGTGCCATATACCAGGTATGAGTTGGGAATGTTACACAAGGAGAAAGGTGACATCAACACAGCCATCAAATTGATTGACAGTGTCAAGTAAGTGTTTTCAGCACATCCAATCTTGGGCTACACATTGGTTCTGTTGTTTGTTTGTTTTTTATATATCAGTGCAGAAATTACCCAAATGCTTTCATGAACTACAGCAGTTTCATGAACTATAATTTACAGTGCTACACTGCAGACTTTTACATTTGTATATGGCATATGCAGCTCAGCCTTTTGTTGGTTGTGAGGACCTTACATTTCATTATCAATTGACCTTTTTTGCACTTTTACGGAATACAGTTTATAGCAAGTGAGTCCTTTGAAAGGATGACAGTGTGCTTATGTGGAACCAAATACATCTATGTGCAAAAGTCCAGCTACCCATTAGTTCTACTAGAATCCACAGTGTATTGCCATATCATACAAAGAACTAATAAGTGGTTTTTATTATGTGTAGGATGAACTACAAAGACTACAACATGGAGTCGAGGCTGCACTTCCGTATCCATGCTGTTCTTGACACCATGGGCTCTTTTTCAGCCAAACCTCGCCCTTCACGTACATCAGCATGAAAGACCCTATGGCAGGAAATGACAAAAAAAGCCTTGTGTGGTGCCATCAGCTCTGCCACTAAACTTGGGGGCGGGACGATTCAGACCTGTGTAGTAAATTAAAATACATCTTGTCAATGGAGAGATTCTTGGGGATGAAAAAAAGTTTACAAGAAAAAGGCTCATTTCAATAGTTCTACTTTTTGACTTTTCCAATAATATCCAGTTTGAGAATATTTCACATCTTGCTTGTATTCTTCATTAGATTAAACTCCTTTCATTATTATAAGCTAATTAATCTATGCAAATAACTGTCTTCTATGTCCAGTGCAGTATGAATAGGTCTGCTTTGATAAATGGTATTTGCTGAATAAATCTTATGAATCAAATTACAGCATTTTTATGATAACACACAATGTAAGGTATAGGCCAGGTGGACATTTTTATGAAGTTAAGATGCCTTTTTACTAAATATATAACAGCTTTCTTAACAAACTCTGCAGTACTGCATGAAAATTGTATATGTTCTTAAAGACATGTCATACAAATAGCTTTTGCAAGCTGTCTTGTCTGTAGTGGCCAAACCTTTGTACATGCCACAATTATTGTTTGCCTTCATTAAAAAGTAACAGTTCATTAACAATTAAATCCTGCTTGCTTCAGGAGATGTATTTAATTACTGTCATTTAAAACAAAATATGTAATGTGACCAAACCTCTGGATCCGTGTATCATCCGATCATTCGATTTGATTTAACTTGCAAATGACAAAACGGATAAATTGTTCAGAATTTCGTTTTTGTAGATGTGAAAAAAGGAAAACTACTGACTTTGCCGTACTCTTGCGCGCCCGCTCGCACATTTATATGAGTTCTCATGGGAAATGGTGTTTATGGCAGATATTAACTGTCCGCCCAGTCAGAAATCCGTAAACATAATAAGACGTTTTTTTTAGATTTGGTTTCTCGTGTATTTGATTTCATGCTTTGTTATGAAAACAGAAGAAATACACAGTGATTTGACTTTCACCGAAAAAACGAAATTCTACTTCATTTATCCGTTTTCTTGTTTGCGGATTAAATCAAATGAGTGAATGATCGGATGATACACGGACCCTTCTGCATACAGCTGTTTGCACCTCGGACACAGCTGTTAGAAGTGTTGATCACGTGGTGTGTGTGATCAGTTGACTCTTCCAGGGCGGGGGAGGAAGGGGAGAGAAGATGGAAGGGAACAGAGACGAAGCAGAGAATTGTATAAAAATAGCGACGAAAGCCCTAGAAGCTGGAGATAAAGAAAAGGCGGTGAGGTTTCTCAACAAAGCAGAGAAGCTGTACCCAACTGACAAAGCCAAAGGTACCGTTGTTTAGCCGGATAGAGAGAACACAGCTCTACTTAACATGATGTGCTGTCAGTAACCAGGTGGTAGCATGTAACTGATGTTTGTTACCGTCACTGACGGTTTAAGCTCAGGCCACCTGGTGGCTACTACTGCATACTGGTTACAGGTATTTGTATAACTGCGTAGCGTTAGTGAAGAAGGGAATGTAGCTAACTAAAATACTGGAATTTAAGCATTAACGTTACACAAGAGTTAACTAGCGTTGGCTAAGATGGCGTTGTGTTAGCTAACCTAGCCTGCCCGCGTCTTCCCCTCTGTAGTGAACGTTTCTGTAAATTGAGGTTTATTACAAGGTGAAGTAAAGTGAACACGTTGAAGAAGATGCCTTTTAGTGAAGCACAGTGATGGTTCAGAGTACCATCAGCTCACCACAAGCTAACGTTAGCTAACAGTTGATCAAACGTCCTTTTTTAACGGGAAACAATCATCAGTCAGGCCATCGTTCGTTGATTAGCTGTCACTAACGTCTCTGTTGGCATTCTTTTTAGTCTCACTTCAGTCAATCAGTCTTTGGGTTTGTAGGGATTTTCAGGAGTCCCGTTTACGAATCAGAGGTTGTAGAGAGATGTAGGGCGAGGAATTAATGTTGTCCAGGTCACTCAGCCAACTTCCAGGCCCTCAATTGAATGATTTATCCCCTTGAGAGCTTCGAAGTACAGGTTAATCCAACAAAAACCACTCTCTGTGAGACGATAATTTATAGCTGTTTAATGAGGAGGGGACTGATGGTGTTTTGCATTGTAAGCTCAAAGGGACTCTTATATCCAGTATTGTGAGTGTTTTCTGTAATGGGATAAATAGACTTGGTCATTGATGACCAATAGCTCCTCACTTCATAGACTAGTAATTGGAATGAAATGAAATGATATCCCGCCATGTCCTTTGTCTGCTTTATGTGCCTGCCCTGCACTCAGTTTTAGGTGGCAGTAGCTAGTTTGTAACTTTGCTGATGTCTTGCTACGACCACCTGATAATTACATTCACATAACCTCCTCACCAGAACTGCTCATGAGATTTGCTGCTATCATTGGAGTAAGCAGCAAACCAAGACCAGGTTTTAATCCAAAACTAATTTGCTAACCCACTGGTCTCACTTCATTAGAAAGCCCCTTGACATTATCCTGCTGTCCAGTCATATCACTCAAAATCTAAATTAACACATGATGTGTAAAAGAGGAAAGATGGGTGACCAAAAAGTGTTTTTTGAGTTTGGCCTCGGTCACTGCATTGTGTGCAGGCTGGCTCACAAAAAAATGGTTTTACTCCTTGTTCACCCAGAAATGGTCCATAATAGTGAATTCTTTTACTAGTTTGAATGTAATTTCTTGATTTAATGAACTTGCAAGTCATGTCTTCTCACACATAAGTCTCTTCTACTGTAGGGACTTAATGACCCACAACAACTTACACCACTTGTCCCTGGTTCTGCTTTTGTTTCCACTGCCCTCAGCACACTGTGGAGACAAATTCCAGGAGCTAAATTTCAGCATCCCTCAGCAGGTAGTACTAAATCAAGTTCCAGGTACTCATGGGGACTGGGTGCTTGCAGTTCTGGCACCTGTGATTGGTTAAACGTCAGCATTCTCACATCTCAAGTATTGGCATTACAAGCATGGCATGTAAACATGTATTCACTGGTTTAGAGGTAAAATGGGGACTTGAGCAAGTTGACACGGACACAGTGGCAAAGATGTCACTTTTCTGAAAGTTTTTGTTCTGCATTTTCAATAGCTGTTAACTGCTCAGCTGCACATCCAGTCTCCGTTACCAGCACAGGTTTTGTTGCGCCTTGATTAATGAGCCTTGTGATCGAGTGTTGATTTGATGCTTTCTGCTCGGTTGTGTAGAGCGAAACGCAGAGCCGCCCTCATGTAAACAGACTGACGCAGGTAAAAATGTAGTGGAAAAGCAAACCGAATGGATTACACCAGTCCTTCGGGTTTTGCCAGATTACAGGTATGAGAAACTACAGGTTACAGCTTGTTAGGTTCCAGTGTTGGTAAAATGCTAACCGTGTCCTAAGTTTCTTCATTATGTGTTTGAAGCCCGTTCCTCCTTGTGCTTTATTGTGCTTTGGAAATGTGCCAGATTATCTTTTTGTTGGCTGTTCTCCTGGCTCATGTGTGGGTTTTTTCTTTAACTAATGAGGCTTTAAATGCACTATTTTAAGGTCTAAATGGGTGTTATTCCTGGTGGATCTTGTCATGTAAGATGCAATTCAAAACGCCACTCTGGTGTGCCTAGTCTGCTGCTTGAAATTCTTTTAACAGTACAGTAAGTGAATGACTGCACATTTTGTGAGCAAAGCCATGCATATTATATTGTTTTTCAACAGTGTATTGTGATTGTAAAATCTAGAATCGTATCTAATCTGAAAATGCGTCATCTCCCTTTTTTACTGCAGTTATTACATTCCTAAATATCACTGACCAACGTGGCAAAGAGTTTACATGTAGTTTCTGCCATGAGTGATACACTGACATGTACTTGTATAACTGAGTATGTCAGTTTTACTTTGCATATACTCAGTTATAATTTTAATACAATTTTAAAGCTTTTACATGCATGCATCTATGTGTGACAGTTTATACTTGAGGATGTTGTTAAAACTTGGACACACATGACAATGAAGGTAATATTTGCATTTACTATAAGTTTAGCTTTTGATTTCTTCCTCTTGTCTTCAGCTTTGTTGGATGCATTAACAAAGAATGGGAGCTCGGCGGGTAATGGCGCATATAAAAGGAGACCAGCAAAAAGCTCAGAACGCACCGGTGCCACACCAGAAGGAGAAAGCCAAGAGTCTGGAGGAGGCGACTCTAAAGGCTTCACCAAAGAGCAGGTTGAGGGTGTGCAGAGGTGAGAATTTCTTTCTTTTAATGCTTTATTTCTTCTCCACCAGTTGGTAGTGTAATCTGTCCCACTACAGTTGGCTCTGTGACAGCAGTACCATTTCTGTCACTCAATTAGACCTTTCACCTGTGTCTGAACGAGGACACTGTCCTCTCTGCATTGTTGTGCACCCAGCTATTGCTATGGCTGTCTCTATACCTCTGTGTGCTGCCTACTGAGATACATTTAGCAGCGTGAACTAGATACCAGGTAACCACTACATGCTCTAATTTTAGACCATGCAGTGGGGAAAAAGCAAGAAAGTTAGAGTAAGCAGGCATTGCATCTTACCTACATATACCCGCCAGTCAGATCAGTAGAAAACTGATGATAGCAACTGGAGTTCATGTCTAGGATAAACATGCTGCTGGTGGTTACACAGTTGTAACAGTGTATTGCAATTAAACTTAGGCAGTGATCTTTTCCCCTGGTGTTTTTGTTATACTGAATCCTTTGAGGAAGCTTTGGTGGGTTAAAAATTGCATCATGTCTCTGAAGAAAAAGTACAGTCAGTTTTGTACTAAAAGTCTCCCGTGGCCTCATCAGTAGTCCTACTTAAGCCATGATTCTTCAGTAATGGATAGAAATGGGTGATTTGATGATGATCATCATATTATATTTACCATAAATTTGTTTTCTCAAGGAAAGAATCAACAATTTACAGTAAAAATCTGACAAACTATTTATAGATTTTGTTGTTGTTGTTTTTCACATGTGTGAAAGGTTATGCTTGGTGAATGTATAACAGTGAAACATTACAGTTAATTTAATTAAGCATCAGCCTGGAAAATATTATTTTTAGTTTTCACTGGTATCAATCCTGTAGCCCAATCCTAAAACCCAGCTAGTGTATGTGTTAGTCTGCCTACGGTATTAATGCTTGAAGCCCTCTGGTACCTGACCTTTTATGAATAGAGATGTCCAGATTCAAATCAAACTTTATTTATACTGCACTTTTGAACTGACAAGTTGAGTCATTTCAAAGTGCTGAACAGATGAGTCAATAAAGCAGAATGTAAAACTAGCTGGGATGGTATCAGATGTTTGGTAATGTTGAATTTGTCACCTGCCTGTTAAAACAATCCACAGTGTTGTTTGTTTATTTTTCCAGGATAAAGCGGTGCAAGGACTACTATGAAGTGCTCGGTGTCACTAAAGAAGCCAGTGAGGATGAGCTCAAGAAAGCCTATAGGAAACTAGCGCTCAAGTTCCATCCGGACAAAAATCATGCAGCTGGAGCAACAGAGGCTTTTAAAAGTGAGTATGCATTTATACTTTGTTACTGGTGTGTTTAACATTAGATAAAGAAGTTCGTTATGTAATGTAAAACTCTTCAGCTTGTTTAGTTTAACTTGATGTGCAAGTTTAGTTCATAGCGCTGATTATGTATAAAAAAAAAAAAAATAAAATAAAAACTGGACAGGTTTTTCACTATGTTGTGGACCCAGTACAGTATCACCTGCAAGTCAAGTGAGACTGCAGAGAACAGCAATTAAATTAAGAGACAAATGAGAGAGAGCTGTGTCTAAGCATTGTACTGTATTTTAGCACTGGGAAAAACTATCTCCATAAACTTTTTGTCCTCCCTTTCATTTTGATATCTTAACAATCTCCTTCAGAGATTGGTAATGCATATGCAGTGCTTAGCAACCCAGACAAAAGGCAGCAGTATGACCTGACAGGAGGGGAGGAGCTGAGCAGCCCGGGACACTCACGGGGAGGAGGCTTTGACTTCCACAGGGGCTTTGAGGCCGACATCACTCCCGAGGACCTCTTCAACATGTTCTTTGGAGGCGGGTTCCCCACCTGTAAGTGCATACAGACTCAAACACCTAAAGACTATTGTTACTGATGACTTTACATAACTTGCCACTCATTTTATGTTCCACTTGTGTATTACTTTACAGTTCCTGCAGTGTCACTTTATCAATTTAGGAGACTGTAATCATTCTTTTTTTTTCCCTTTTGTCCAGTTTTGCAAATTTGCATTTTAAATGCATTTTAATGTGGTTCTCTTAATGTGTGAATAAAGGGACTGTAGAACCTCTAGTACAGTACTGTTGGTACAATTCAAGTTTTCCACTATTCATGGTGCTGAAAAATTAGTATGTTTAAAATCAGACCAATAGATTTTTAGCTTTGATGACAGTCGCACTTTGGTTTCACTAGTTCTGTACTGCTCTGATATTCTACATAACCTAGAGCAGTGTGAATGTACAGTTTTGAAAACTAAAGCTAAGAGTAAGTGAGACCGGTGACATATCCCATAACTCTGTATCTGACCTCAGTAAATATTTTTGTCTGCAGCAAGTGCACACACCTTCACCAATGGCAGAACAAGCTACAGCCACCAGGCTGATTACCGACAAGAGAGAACAGAAGAGAGGGGAGATGTAGGTAGACAGGTTCTGACTTAAGAAATAACATTTTATTTGCACATACAGTATGTATAATATTACAGTTTTACTTGATGCACAACTTTGTAAGCTACATATGTTGTTTCAGCTAAAGTTCTGTTTGTCTTTAGGGTGGTTTCTCAATGTTTATCCAACTGATGCCCATAGTGGTCCTAATTTTAGTGTCAATACTGAGCCAGATGATGGTGTCCCCTCCACCCTACAGCCTCTACTCTAGACTGTAAGTGTGCATACACTTACAGTATGTGTTGTGTTTCCATAACCTAAGGGGACATTACACTGACTTGCATTCATTTCCTGGAGACTTACCATAACCTTACCCTACCCTTTACCTAACACCTAACCTTTAACAAAGTCATCACTCTAAAATGTAAGGATTTATGCTTTGGGGACTTGGTTTTTGTCCCCATAAGGACATCAGGTCCCTACAATATGATTGTGTGAATAGATTTACATCCCTGCAACACAAGTAATACCTGGCTACAAGCACAGAGTCATGTCTTACTGTACTATAGTTGTGAGGAGCAGGGCACTCATTGACATAATGTATTCCCTGGTCCCATACCATAATCTTAACCATCACAAATAAATGCCCAACTCCAGCCCTACCCCAGCTTAAACCTAATTTTAACCTAAACCATGTTTAACCCTGAAAAAGCCTTTTGATGTTTGAGGACCAGCTAAATTGTGTTCACCACACAGTTGGTCCACACTATTAGTCATTATTGACACCTGCAGATGTATGCGGCAAATCGCACGCTTTTATGCGATGCGTACTTATTCAGCTGTCAATTCTTTAAAACTGATTACCTGAGTACTTTAAAACTGACTGAATACCTGTGTTAACCATACAGAAAGCAGTCTATTTTTCGTTATACTACTATGAAATGCTTTGTGCCATAAACTCTTCATTGTGTGCTTTGTTGTCTTTCATTCACTGTTGTTCACTGGATAAATGCCCAGAAAATAGCTTTCTTTTCACTGCCCTACTCTTTGCAGAAAACAAGGTCTACATTATTGCAGAATAGCCAATTATAACTGGTTATGTGAAGTACCTTCAAGATTAAATGTGAAAAACTGCAACCGTTGTCAGCATTTTCACTAAAGATTCTACCTCTCCAGGTCCACGGGTCAGATCATAAAACGGGAGACGGAAAACTTGCACGTTGACTACTATGTCACTAAGGACTTCAAGTCAGAGTATAAGGGTGCTGCACTGCAGCAGATTGAGAAGAATGTGGAGGAGGACTATGTATCTAATATCAGAAATAACTGTTGGAAGGAGAGACAGACAAGTGAGTAATTATGATTAAATACACCCTCAGAACTAGCTTACCAAATTCAGTAATATGTCCTCTTCACATTTTCCCTGGGCTCTTGTTTTATCAGTCACATTGTTCTTCTGCTTGTCTTATCCAGAAACAGACCTGCTGTATGCTGCTAAGGTATACCGGGATGACCGAATGCGCAAGAAGGCAGAGCTCATGACCATGGATAACTGCAGGGAGCTGGACAGACTAAATAGCCTATTTAGAGGCGGATGAGTGATGTTTTTGGATCATGTAAATAATCAGTAGATGTGTATGTTCATTTTTTTTTTAAGGAAGAGGATTTAAACTAGGAGCAAAAACTTACAGAAATAATTTAGCTCTGTTGTTTCTAAGTTTTAAAATGTCCCTTTCCTCAAATCCCTCTGCCGACTTGTTCTCTTCCCCCGCACCAGCCTGACCCCAGGAATCGGCTTGCTTCAAACCTAATGAACCAATCACCATCTGCTGTAAAAAGCCCCAGATCATTTTTTTAAACTCTGCTTTTTTGTTTTCTCCTGGAAACGAGGAGAACACTAGACTATAAAGGCATGTGGTGAGAGCTCAAGAGGCATTTTGCACAAGTGAATCACTTTAAGATCAACGAACAGCTTTCGGCATCATTTTCCTGACAGAAACATAATTTGGGAGAAAGATTTCTCTGGAGGTGCTACCCTCCAGCCAAATCCCTTTCATGAAGAACACAATGTCTCTTTTAGCTTCCTACTCAGCTTTGGGATGAAGATCAGTGGACCATGAAGAGTTTTTGATCTGTGATTTTGCTACTAGAGAACATTTTTATGTTATCCCCTTCAAAATGTGAAGTTGGTTTGGACTAAACATGAAGACATCAAAACTTATATAATGTTGTACATTATCATGTTGGAAGTTTATGCAGTTATTTAAATTAGGTAACTAATAGAAGATGCGTTTTTTTTTTTCTTTCTTCAATGCTCGCCTAAACATTTAAATAAAGTAAAATTATTACTATGGATTTGCTCTGTATCTGACTGAGATGACAAACACCCAAATTACCAAAAACAAACAAAAAAACCTCTCGCATCAGTTATGTAGTCATGAAGCTAGTGTTGGTTTTATTTTTCCTAAGCTTTGAAATATTTCTGAGGTATCTGCTGTCAATCCAATGAACAATGGGATGCAAAATAAAGCTGCAGTAATTAGCAAATCAATTAGACCACTATCCCTAAGTTGATGGTGATTGTTTTGGGCTCCTACTACAAGCCTGCACATTATCATTATTAAAATTGTGGTTTTGTTTTTAACTCTACATTAATTATAGATCAATGCGCAATTGATCTATACTTAGCTAGATGGAGGATGGATCTCTAGGCTATAGCTGTGGAGAATCTGAAAACTGGGAGGATAAGGAAGGGGAGCCAATTCATAAAGAGGCTAAACTTGTTTTTTTTTGTTTTTTTTTGTTCCAGTATTCAAGTGGATAGACTATAAATTTAAGAAATGATTTTAAAGTTATTTTACTTAACCATGTTCCGTCTAAAAACTAACACTTGTGAGTACCTAGTCACAGAATCGGTAACCAGGAGAAAGTAAAAGGTAAAATAGTAAAGTAAAGCTGAGTAAAATACAACTGACTCCCCCAAAAGAAACCAGAATTCGAAACGACCACGTGATACTGTTGAACTCGTTTGTCATCGGTCACGTGATCCCGGAAGTTGTCGGATCCTCGGTGGCACACACAACATCACCACGTCCTATTAGGTTTCTTGGAAGTGAAATGAAAAGGAGCACAAGCGAAACTTGACATGCCGTCAAAACCAACATCCTGAGGAATAAATCAGCCTGTGCTAGACCAACGTGCCGGGAAACGCTGGTTTCTGTCTCCGACGTTTCGTGGACTATGCACTACCACAGCCACGTCTGTGCTTTTTTGCTGGGTTCATGCTTATTTGGGTGTTTTCCCCACGTGTTTAACTGCAAACAAGAGCCAGAAACTCCTGACTGGAGGATGACTCTGAAAACTATCCGTAATGGAATACACAAAATTGACACCTATCTGAACGCAGCACTGGATTTGTTTGGTGGCGATGACGGGCTGTGTCATTACAGGTGCAGTGATGGTAAGCTAGCTTCATCTTCCTTCAAAGCCTTTTTTAAAAGTCACCAGTGGATTTGTGAAACACAGTTGTAACTAAAAGCATTAATTAAATCGACTGTACTGCTGCGTTTGTCTCTGACAGCAACATCTTCCACTTTGCTCCTTTCTCACAGGTTACAAGCCGGTGCCTCGTCCTGGCTACAAGCATCCGCCACCCAACGGGTGTGGGTCCCCATTGTTTGGTTTTCAGGTAGTCTGGCAGTGTTTGGAAGATTGTGTGTGTGTGTGTGTGTGTGTGTGCACGCCACGCAAAGCGAGTTGTCATGTGAATCCTGATGTATACTACAGCATCCCAAACCGTATGGGCCTAGATATGATGCAGTCCATGTTTGTCTAACATTTTATCTTATTGCTTTGTTTACACACACACACACACAATACAACATATGTAGTTGAACATGGCCCAATGTGGATATAAAATAGTCTAACTGACAAATCCACAATGCCAATGTTATTGGCAGATATTTGCTTTAGATACAATGGCAAGAAGGAAAAACTACTGTATGTGAACCTTTTGGAGTTACAGTATGTTAAGCTGTCCCAGCACCTCCATGTCAGGATTCTTCTTCCACTGTACTTTTCAGTACAAAAACAAACAAATTTATACCTTTTTCATATCCCTGATTGATGGAAGGTAAAGGAAGGGGTGCTATTCTGGAAAGATTTGTAATTTTTGGGGTTGACTTTTGTTTTATTTACAGTGGAACTAAAACTGTCATAATGTACTGCGCTATGTTGTTTGTCATTTCTGAATCATAATTTTACCACCTGCCAGGATAATGTAAAGTTCAAAACACAATGATTACAAACATTCAAAGAGTGACCAAGCTGTTTTTTCCAGTTTGACATAGGCATCCCATCCATGACTAAATGCTGTAACCAGCATGATCGCTGCTATGACACTTGCGGCCTTGAGAAGCACGACTGTGATGAACAGTTCCAGGATTGTCTTGAGACCATCTGCAGGAATGTCCAAAGAACTCTGGGATTGGCCCAAAGTGTTCAAGGTGAGGGACTTGATTGCTTTTTGTGTCCTGGTACATCCTAGCTCATTTGACAGTTGCTTTGTAAACTTCACAAAGAAACGGTAAATTTCAAAATAGTGTAATAGGGTTTAAGACTTTGCTATGAAGGCTGTTGAAAACTGTTGGTCTTGACTGCAGCTTTTTGTCACTGCCACCTACTGGTGTCCCCATCCAGATTTAGTGTTTGATTTTTATCTATGATAAAATATATTTGATTAATACCACATGCTCATATTATTCCTCTTTCTTTCCTTCTTGGCAGCCTGTAAATCAGCGGTGACGCTGTTGTTTGATGCTGTTATGCACTTGGGATGTAAGCCATACTTGGACAGCCAGAGAGAGTCCTGTGTGTGCCAGTATGAAGTGAAGAAGGAACTGTGATACAGAACCAAGACTGTAAAATGAGGCTGATTCACAAGCACAACTCTGGCAGCATGACTCCAGAGATACACTTTTTTCAGACTTATAGCTTTTCTCAGGGATATAGAGTGTCTTGGCCCTCTCACCTCCCTTTAGTGACAATTTGAATTGCACACTTCTCTTAGACAAGTGGATGTGAATTAACCTTAGTGTGACAAGAGTTAGTGGACAATTAATATCTTTCCTAGACTAATTATTTATATTTTGTCAATACTGTGTAACATGTTTCTTCTGTGATGGGCTGGAAAGAGGGTATTCAGGTTTTCACTGGGATTTGGTTGTTTGGGTGGGACCCAGTTAACAGTGCTTTATTTTATGGGCACTGCAAATTCATAATTGTTTTCTGAAAAGATCTTCACAAATTTGCACTAATTATGGGTACACATGGAGTGGAATTCTTCCAGTTGAATGCTAAACTTGTATTTTAGCCAGTGTACAGCAGGTCTGCTGAATATGCTGCAAGGTGCGATTTGTCTATTGACTGGCAATAAGAACACAAACATATATAAAAATGTATATTTCCAATAATAAATTAATGATAATATTTTCGGCTCTATGGCCTGTATAAGCAAACTATACTGCCCAGACCCAAACAGAAGCATGTGGTAAATAAGTAAAGGATGTACATTTTTATAGTAACAAACATTTTATAACATTTGTAAAATATCACATGGAAAGGAGTGTACTTGTGGACTCTATGAAATTACAACACTGTTGAGAAAACCTGTTTTGAACTGTCATAAAAACATAGAAATAGAGGAAAAGGTTTAAATTTATACCTGTAATTCAGTGAGACGGTGCACATTTTTGGATAAACTGTTACTGTGATTAGCTGATTAGTCGATCAACAGAAGAATAATTTGTAACGGTTTTGATAAATTGTCTGTTATTTTTAAGGCAGCTCTAGTTGCCTAAAAAACAAAACAAGTTATTTTTTGATTAGTTTATCAAGTGTGAGGATTTGCAACTGAATCACTTTGGAGTTTGAACTGTTGGTTGGATAAGACATTTTAAGATGTCACCTTTGGCTCTGAAAAGTTGTGAAGGGCATTTTTTGTAATTATTTGTTGATTCATAGACTAAATTATATGATTAATTTAATAAATTAATTGATAATGAAAATAATCACAAGTTGCACAAATTATTAGGAACATGCCATAACAAAAATGTGATTAAATGTTAGTAAAATGTACACATTTCAACTTGTCAAATCAAAATTAATGTTTAGCTATAGTCCAGTATTACAAATGAAAAATTTGTTGAGTTTATATGACATTAGCGCTTAGGAGCTATAACTTGATCTAAACCATATCGTCCGTTTTATTGACATATTTTATGCTTTGAGCGGTATGATCTTGAAGCAGCTATTAAATTGCGCTATATGTGATTTTATTTGGTGTACCATGCAGAAACCTCCCTTTATTTTTATGATACATAAACTTCCTGCACTATGTTTAATGAGTCGCTTTTCTAATGTGGCAAACACGGAAGTCCTGGCTATTAAACCTTAATGGACAGATATAGGCGCCAATTAGTGATGGGTCCGGCATCATCGATGCATCGCCACATGCGTCGAGCTCGTAGAGC